AAAGTTCATGCGGATCCATAGGCGAAGCCCATCTTCGTTTAAATAATAATGAAAATCGTATCACCAAGTTTGCAAGCCCTTGTGGAGAAATTGGGAGAACAATGTCGTGAACATGTGTTCAAAAATAAAAATAAAAAAGTTGGAGAAGTAAAAGTTAATATTGTTGAAAAACTAGAGTAGCTCTTCCAAAATTACTATTTGAAAGTGAATATTAGTTATAATTATGACCATATGTGCTAATTAATGATGGTTTACTAGAAGATCAGATAAAAATTTGTATGAAAGATCTTAATTAGTAAAGAAGTAGATTTCTTAGTGTTGGGCACAGCGGAAGCTTCTTATACCAATTTGTTGGACAGCAACGGAAACCTCTAACACCAATCTGTTGTGCAGAAGTAACCCAAACAAATATACACACAATGATGGCAAATCCTAATAACAGAAAGATAGGAACAAAGATGAAAAGAAACACACCACAAGACAAGATTTATACGTGGTTCACCCTCACAAATAGGGTTACGTCCATAGACGATGATGATCCGCATCACTATATATATAGAGAGGAAGATTACAAATTGAAGAACGTTTTGATTCTTCCAGACAATAATTCCTTTTCTCACAATCAAACTTCACCCACCAAATGAAGAAAAGCTCACCGAACGCTCTCAAGAAAAATCCCCAATAATTATATGTTTTACATAAAGAAGAAAACCCAACCAAAGACAAACTTCAAATATCTATCTTGAAGATTGTACACACAAAAAGATTTCTTCACAAAAAAAAAAAAAAAAAAAAAAAAAAAAAAAAAAAAACCCCCAACATAACTTATTGTGACTCTACCCTCTCTTGATCAGAATATCTCTCTGGGATCACTGAAAGATCTCACCGGGATTTCTATCTTTTGCTGCGTGTTATGCCTAATTTATAGGCCAAAATTGCCGCCTTTGGATACCTTACTTGTCGCTGGCATAAAGCAATTCATTCCTTATCAATTTTCCTTAACGTTTGCTTATTACCTTATCAAACCCTTAGCTTGCACATTAAGTCATCCACACAGCCATACAATTGACCACCACAATTGTATCATTCAACCAATGAAATTTTTTCAAATTCCCAACAATCTCCACCTTGGCAAAATTTCTCCACCTTGACACAAATGATAAAGCACCACCATAAAGAGACTTTCTCCACCACAATATGAGTAATAATCATAAAAAACGTCACCATCATCGCCATCGAAAAAACCAAATTAATGAAGAATTTTAGTTCAAGTATGAGTCCTCCTCAAACTTAACCCTCGGAATCTCCTCTTCAACCCAAACACGTCTTGAGTTACGACAAGCATGCCTCTAGTATTTTTGTCAAACTCTAAATGCTTATCAAAAGCATCCTCGAAAACTCTAAGTTTAACATTTCCTCTAGCAACCTTCGCCAACCACCCACAAACCGTCAGTTAGTAATGAAAAGTCATATTCTCACCCTTGTGGAGAGTATGACGTCCCTGACTTTCCATCGCATCTCTAATGTGATCAACTACTTGTTTCCCACGCATGTATATGACACTCAAATGGGCTTTGTTATTGCCACCAAGATTGTTATAAGTCACCACCACATCTGTCTTCATGGGTCTACCTCCCTGTAAAAACTGCTGCAATTTCGATTGCCATCTGAAAACGGATTTCATTCTCCTATAACATTGTGTAGCCCCCTTTCAACCCTTTTAAGAAATAAAATCATCACTCTTCTCTGTAACTCCTCCTTTTCCAAGATCTAAATGCAGATTTCTGCTCATTATAGAAGACCCCATAATAGCTCCACCTGTTACTGTATTCCCTTAGAGAATATACAAGTTTCCCACCTTGATTCCCTGTAACACCACAAGAGAACCCATCACGACCCTCATAACTCCACCCTCTGTTACAACCTTGTAACCTTTAGAGTTTAGCACACCTACTGAAATAAGGCTCTTTTTTAGATCCTGTACATATCGCACACCTCACAATGTTCTCACCAACCCATCATGCGCCTTGATCTTGATTGTTCCAATTCCTAAAATTTTGAAGGCTTTTCCATCCGTCGTTAAAATAGAACCACCTTTTACCTCTTTATAGGAGGAGAAAAAATCCCTATTGGGACACATATGAACAGAACAACCCAAATCAAGAATCCAACTGTCATTAAATTGCATACCTGAACACGAAGTTGCCATGAGAATATAATCATCATATTCCGAATCACTCGTTGTAGCAGCTACCACAGAATCTGCCTCTTGAACCTTCTCATTGCCATTCCCATTCTTTGCCTTTAGTTTGGGACAGTGCATGATGATGTGCCCTAACTCATGACAATAGTAACATTTCTTGTCCTTGTAATTCCTTGATTTGCACCTAGAGCTATTCGAATTTAAGCCTCAATTTTTTGTCCTCCCATTTATAGCTAAGACCATGGCCTCTCTGTCTCTGTCAATCTCCAACACTTTCCTCCGATTCTCATAAAAGAGAAGTGTTGATTTAACCTCATCCGGGACTACAGTCTTCTTCCCATATAACATAGTAGTCACCAAGTAATCATACGTCATGGGAAAAGAAGCCAAGAGAACCGAGACTTTCTCTTCATCATCCATTTTTACCTCCATATTTAATAGTTCCGAGAGAAGCTTATTAAACTCGTTGAGGTGGCCTTGCATCGTAGAACCCTCCTTCATACTAAAACGGTAGAACTCTTTCTCGAGATTAATCCGATTTGTAAGCGACTTTTCCAAATAGAGTTTTTCAAGCTTCTCCCAAATCTCCTTTGATAATGCCTCTGTCATCACGTTCTGCTTGATCTCCTTTGACAAACATAATCAGATCGTGGAACAAGCTTCCACATAGAGCTTTTCCCATTCATCTTTTTTCGTTGAATCATGATTATCATCCAAGGTTTTTATCAAACCTTCCTTAACAAGAATATCCTTCACCTCAACTTGCCACATCCCAAAGTTGTTATTTCCATTAAATTTCTCAACTTCATATCTCATAGATTTGGAAGCCATCCCAAAAGACCCTAGTTTGCAACCAAGGCTCTGATACCACTTGTTGGGCACAACGGAAGCTTCTGATACCAATTTGTTGGCCAGCAACAGAAACCTCTGACACCAATCTGTTATGCAGAAGTGACCATAACAAATATACACATAATGATGGTAAATCCTAATAACAGAAAGATATTAACAAAGATGAAAAGAAACATAGCACAACACAAGATTTATATATGGCTCACCCTCACAAATAGGGTTACTTCCGCAGGTGATGATGATCCATATCACTATATATATATATATATATATAAATATATATATATATATATAGAGAGAGAGAGAGAAGAAGATTACAAATTGAAGAACGTTTTGGTTCTTTTAGACAATAATCCTTCTTCTCATAATTAAACGTCACCCACCAAACGAAGAAAAGCTCACCGAACGTTCTCAAAAAAAAATCCCTAATAATTATATGGTTTACATAAAGAAGAAAACCCACCTAAAGACAAACTTCAAATATCTCTCTTGAAGATTGTACACACAAAAGTATTTCTTCACACAAAAAACCAATATAACTTATTCTGACTCTATCCTCTATTGATCATAATCTCTCTCTAGGATCACTGAAAGATCTCACCGGGATCTCTATCTTTTGCTGCGTGTTATGCCTTATTTATAGGCCAAAGTTGCCGCCTTTGGATACCTTACTTGTCGCTAGCACAAAGCAATTCCTTCCTTATCAATTACTTTCTTAACGTCTACTTATTGCCTTATCAAACCCTTAGCTTGCGCATTAAGCCATCCACACGGCCACATAATTGACCACCACAATTGCATCATTCAACCAATGAAATTCTGCCAAAATCCCAACACTTAGGACATATGAGATCTATGTAAGAGCACTTAATCATATAGCCTATTTGTGAAAAATGATGGCTTCCTAGAAGACCAATTAACAAAATTAATATTTAAAGAAAAAAAAAAAAAAAAAAAAAAAAAGAATCTAATTAGGAAAGAAATAGATTTTTTAGGGCACATGAGATTTATCTAAGAGCACTTAATCACATAACCAATTTGAACAGCTTGCATTGTAGCTCTTATCAAAATTATGGTGTATTGTTTTGGTTTTCTCAAAGTTTGACCATCCTTCTATTTAAATAAGACAACCGGTTTATTAAAACAGTACAGTTTTTTAATGATCTTCAAAGTCCTAGGGAAACAGAACTAGTTCCATCAATTGGAAATGCAAGTTTCTACTAGAGAGTACATTGAAGTATATTGATATCATATGTATATCATTAATATCTGACCATATTAACTAGAAAAATCTGTTGAGGATCTTGTATGAATGACCTGCTCATTACATTAGATTAAAAAGTACAAAAATAACATTCTCTTTGGCAAGTAAAAGTCATTACATCAGTTCTAGTTGTTCAAGTTTATTAGTAGATATAAGGAGTCAACAACATGTATTTCTTTAAGAATCAAAATATTATCCCAATCTTAAATTAAAGTTCTCTGATATTGATATGTTTTGAAATGTTTTGAATGCAATATCAGGTCATCATCACGGACATAAAAAAGGAAAGTAGATTGTCCATTAATATCCTTTTGGTACCTTTTGTTAAAATTAAATGCAATGCCATGCATGTTCATTATGTCTTTTGGGTTTATTCATGTATCAAGTGAGTGCATGTATCAAGTGTGCAATTGAGACTTGTCTTGGAAATATCTTTGTATTCTTTAGGAAGTTCAATTGTCTTTGAGAGGACACTATATATTAGTCCAAGTGGTCTGTAGTGGATCAATTCAATACAACAAGAAAAAATATTTGCTACTACCTTTCTTCTTCTTCTTCTTCTCTTTACACATCAATTCTATAGTTGGTTGAAACTATAACCAACATAAGTGGTATTAGAGCTTGATTTCGATCAAGAGCAATTGGGCATGACGATTATTAACGGGAAAACGATTCACCGTGATGGCGACTACTGACCCCATTGTTATTGTTATTGAAGAAACTAAAGAACATGCCAACTTGAGTGTTAGAAAATTGATGGGTTCTATAAAACCATTTGAGCAAAGGTTGAGTAGGCGCTCTGAAAAATCAATTGAAAGTGTCTTTCAATCCAAGCTCAATGTTAGTTCCAAAAATCAAGAAAAAGACCCATCAAGTTTTGATCGATCCAAAGATGAATCTTCTAGAGGTGGAAGACAATGAAGAGGAAGAGGAAATAATTTTGAAAGAGGTGGAAATATGAAGTCCACAAAACAAAATTGTGGAATTTGTAAACGAAGTAGCCATGTTGACAAAGATTGTTGGTTTCGGGGAAAACCAAAATGTTTCAACTGTAAGAAATTTGGGCATATTCAAAAAGATTGCCGAGTCAAATCAAATTAGTAAGCTAATTTTTCAAAAGAACAAGAAGTTGAAGCGAGCATATTTTATGCTTGTCACACGGCATCAGAACAAAAGGATGATGTGTGGTTTCTTGATGGTAGGTGTAGTAACCACGTGACCAGAGATAAAAGTATATTTTTAGAGATTGATACTTCATCGAATTCCCAAGTAAGGATGGGAAACAGTGCCTTGGTTCAATCAAAAGGAAAAGGTACTATAGCCATAGAGACAAAGAAGGGAAGAAAACATGTTCGGGATGTGCTACTAGTTCCAAATTTGGAGCAAAATTTGTTGAGTGTTGGGCAACTTGAAAAGCATGGGTACTCTGTTCACTTTGATGAGGACTATTGCAAAAATTTTGACAAGAGAGGAAAAAATCAAATTGTGGCAAAAATTAAGATGCGCAAAAACAGAAGCTTTCTTCTAATTTTTCCACACTCAAAAAATGTGGATTTGATGATGGGTGTTGTTGATGAGTCATGACTTAGGAATAGAAGACTTGGGCACTTAAATTTTTAAAGCTTAAGGAATCTACAACAAAAGAATATGGTGTATGGGCTGCCAACAACACAAGAAGTTAAAGAAGTATGTAAAAACTCTTCTTGAAAAATTCAGAATGTTGAATTGCAAATTAGTTTGCACTCCTTTGGTTGTGAATGAAAAATTAATGAAAGAAGATGGAGGTAAAGAAACGGATGCATCTCTCTATAGAAGCTTGGTTAGAAGTTATTATATTTGACAGCTTCAAGACCCGATATTATGTTTGCTACAAGCTTATTATCTCCGTTTATGCACAAGCCAAGCCAAACACATTTTGGGGCTGCCAAGAGGGTGTTGAGATATATTCAAGATACACTTGATTTTGGCAACTTGTATGAGAAAAATGCTGATGCAAAGTTTCTTGGATTTTGTGACAGTGATTGGACCGGATGTGTTGATGATATGAGAAGCACTTTTGGTTATGCATCCTCCCTTGGTTCGGGTGCATTTTCATGGTCATCTAAGAAGCAACAAACAGTGACGCAATCTTCTACCGAGGCAGAATATATTTCAGCATCCTTGGAAGCGTCACAAGCATATGGCTAAGGAGACTTTAGAAGATATTGGTGAGAAGGAAGGAGAAGGTACTCCAATTTTGTGTGACAACGAATCCGCAATTGCTATGACAAGAATCCCGTCTTCCATAGTCGCCCCAGGTGTTAGGATATGTGTGCCCTAGCATAGCAAATTCTAATTTTAGATTGTAAAAGTCATGGTTTCTTATTTGGATATTATTATTAAAGCATTATACAATTGGTGAATGGAATGTATTATTTTTCGATTCTTTATGGAATTGATGGTGTCTGCTTGATTACAAAATATATTTATATATGTATGTAATGGCAATTAATACTATGATATAAATTAGTAATCATAAATGGTTTAAAGTCGGTAATTATGGATGGACATTTAATTAGTTAAGACTTAAACAGAGTCCACGATAGATTGAGATATATTGCGAGAGCTGTCGTATGCAATTGCTCTCTATCACAGTCATGGCTTTTGACTCTCAAGCATGAGAGAAGTATAGACTCTTTTATTAATTAATAATTACTTTGATTTGTTCGGCGGATACCTCGGGATCCTTAGATCGACACTTTGGGTAGTTATGTAATTAATAATTAGAGGTCTATATTCTCAATATTTGCATCAGTGCTATTTGTATTTATTTTGTTTTGATTATGGTTGATCACAAATTAAATTCGAAGGCCTTCGTATGTTTTAGACAAATGTTTTCTATATATATTTATTTAATAAATTATTATTATTTTTTGTCAAATAAATATTTTATTGTGATCGAGCCGGAAATAATCAAAGATAACAAAATAGTTATATTAATTATGTTGTCGGATTGATGGCTTTAATTATCCGATAAATAATTAAGCATAGAGGGGTCAAAATGCAACATTGACTTAGAGGTTATTTACTATTTAATTGGAGTGCAATTAATTTCTTTTAGTGGAGTAGAAATTAATTTATGAATTAATTAAATTGGGTCCATGGTTTAATGGACTGGACTAATTATTAATTTATAGGAGCCAAGAAAATAGTAAGCCCAAAAGGATTCTCACCAATAGCCCAAGTTGATATTGGAGTCATGTTAGGATTGAGAAAGTTGAATTAGAGATAGAGAATGATTTATTGTTACCTTATTCTTATTTTTATTTTTCCTATATATACATGAGTTCATGTATATTTTAGGTGTGACTTGGAAAACAAGAAAAAGGAATACACTTTCTCTCTCTAGATTTTAGGGTTTTGTTTTCTCTTCTAAAGGAGGCTACCACCAGCCTAGATTCCAAGGTCATTCATCAAGGCATATTGGTGAGTCCTAAAGGGAAGATAATAATCGAACAGAAGGAGAAAGGATCTTGCTAAAGGGATCTACAATAAGTGAGAACATTCACTTTAGAGGAAAGTTCAAAAGGTTTACTCAGACCTTTGATGTAAGTATTCAATCTGTTTATTGAATTATGCATCATCTTTTATTTATCTTTGCATAAAACTTGTCTCTGTGTGATGAATCAAGATCCGTGATTGCAAATCCCTCAAAAGTTTTAAAAACTTGCACGTTTCCCAACAGTGGTATCAGAGCACATGGTTTGATTCATTACTAGAGAACATGTGTTTATAAAAATCATATTCATGGATCCAAATTATATATACATATATAAAATTATTGATATATGTTGATGTATGATTTATTATGTTGATATATATTAATACATGATGATGTATGTATAATTGTGAATGGATGATGATGTGTGTTTGGGCCATGGATGAAACTTATAGGTATATAGAATGTAATTTTATTTTTTGGATGAATGTAATTAAGGCTTTGTTTTAACCGTTTGAAAATTCAATGATGTAATTTAATTTTTTCCATTGTATTTCAAATTGTAAGTATTTATTAAAGCCATGTAATATTCATCAAAGGATGCTATGAAGCTTCAAGAGGGTCCGAAAGGGTTAAATTATGCTTCAGTAATTTTCTGGAATTTTTCTGAATTTTTCGGGAATTTTTTGAGGCTTAATTTAATTTTCTGGGATTTTTCCGGATTTTTTGGAATTTTTTCGGCGTTTTTCCGGTGGCCGGAGCTTCGTCGGCGGCGAGAAGAGGCGTCGGAGGTTGCCCGGATCAAGTGTGGCACACACAAGGTGAGCCTGGCGCGTGTTTCTCACGCGCCAGGAAGTGGCAAGTTAATGACAAGCTGGCGCGTGGATCTCACGCGCCAGCCAAGAAGGTGGTACCCTCCACGCGCGTGAAGGCGCGTGGAGGCGCGTCCCACGCGTCCCAGGCGCGTGGGAGCTCGTGAGAGCGCGTCCCACGTGCCCCAAGCGCGTGCAGGCGCGTGTGGGCGCATGGGAGTGCGTGCCGAGTCTTGCAGCCTGCCATAGGCGCGTGCCAGCACGTGTGGGGTCCTCCGGGCTCGTTCCAAGCGGCGTTTTGCTTCTCCTGATGCGTACAAGCTTCTTATGGGTGTTTACAGACAGTTGAAGGACGCCCGTACAGCAAGAATAGTTTTTAAATGTTAAAAGCTGAATCCATTGGCCATTTATATTGCTTCTGTCTATTATTTGATGCATGGAATAATTTAATGCTTATTGTAATTGTTCATGCATTGGATCCATGATTTTTAATTAAATGGCTTGATTAATATTAATTAAATTATGAAGATAAATTGGATTAGATTGCTAATTAATTTGAGAGCATTTATTGGGAAACAGAAAAATTATTTTTGTAAATTATTTTTTGCCTCAAATTAAAGATTAGTGAATCATTTAAAATCCATATATTTTCTAAATTTAATTGGATTAAAATCAAGGCGTTTTGCATGCATTAAATCATGAATTAAAAACCCTAGTTTTATATTATTAAAAATTGAGTGGGAGCGGGGATTTTTTTATACATTACCCCATGGCCTTCGTAATTATAACCATTATGATTAAATCTTTAAAAATAAGGCTCCACGCATGATTTAAAGAGTCTAGATTACAAGAATGGTTGTCTCACGAAAATATATTTATTAAATAACCATTATAGTTTGATCTTTAAAAATAAGGCCATACGCATGATTTAAAGAGTCTAAGCTATTAATGGCAATATATTTAATATTTGTTTTTCCGTTGGAGCATTAATTATGTTATACACTCAATCTAAAATCAATAGTATTAGCTCCCCAACGGAGTGGTCTATACTAGGTGATTTTAGAAAGGCTAAATCTAATCGGGAATTATTTCATATATAGATAAGGCATTGTCTAAAGAGATATGGAAATAATGAGTTGTTCTCGTCAATAAGCAATAATGAATTCCGCCAACCGGATAAGTTATTGGCATATTGATTGTCCGATTTTTCATGCAATGTGGTTAAGGGACCCACAATTAATTAATTATTTTATACTTGCATGATTATTATTATTCACTTTATTTATTGTATGAATGCTTTTATTTTCAGATTTATCATGACTAGTCCATTCAGTCCACTTGCAAACATACTAAAAGAAAATCGATTAACTGGACCTAATTATATCGATTGGAAAAGGCAACTAGATATTGTACTCACATATGAGGGGTTGAATTATGTGCTTACTACTCCTAGACCTTCTCCACCTTTGCCTGAAGATCCTCCTGAGGAGCATGAAGTATTTAAGAAATGGAATAAAGCAGATGAGATGACTAGGTGCTACATTCTTGCTTCACTCTCGAATGTACTCCAAAGTCAACATCTTCAATATCTCACTTCTGCAGACATCATGCTTAACCTTAAGGAAATGTTTGGGCAAATTGGTAAGAGCGCACGCCAAAATGCTATGACAAATTTGATGACCATTAAGATGGTCCAAGGTACTTCAGTTCGGGAACATGCTTTAAAAATGATTGGTTTTTTAAATGAACTGGAGATCCTTGGATGCAACTTGGATGGTGAACTTCAGGTTGACATGATTATCGCTTCATTGCTAGACTCATTTAACTCTTTTAGGGTTAATTATTATACGAATAAGCTTGAGTACACACTCGCTGAACTATTGAATGAGTTGGTAACCTTTGAAGGGATAAACAAAAGCAAGGGTGCATCTATCAACTACACTCAGTCTGCTGGACCATCCACTTCTAGGCCCAAGAGGAGAGGCAAGAAAAAGAAGAAGGGTGGTGCCAAAACTGTGGTTGTGCCAAACAAAGTAATCCAAAAGGATAAGGGAAAGAAGAAAGTGCGGGTTGAAGGCGAAGGAAACTGCTTCCATTGCGGTCAACCGGGTCACTGGAAACCTAACTGCCCAATACTTCGCACACAAGGCAAAGGAAAAGGTATATTCATTGTTGAGGCATGTAATGTGGTTGAATCTATAGATTCCTGGTGCATAGATTCTGGAGCCACTAATCATGTTTGCAATTCATTGCAGGGATTCCAGGAGTCCAGAAGCCTCAATGAAGGAGAGATATACTTACATATGGGATCTAATGCCAAGGTGGAAGCTAAAGCAGTGGGAGTGGTTCATATGCAGTTTGATAGTGGGAGGAGTCTTATTTTAGAAGATTGTCTTTATGCGCCAAATGTTAGGCACAATTTAATTTCAGTTTCTTCGTTGGTTTGCAAAAATTATATTTTTACTTTTGGAAAAAATGTTTTAATTAAATTAAATGGTTGTGTTATAACTTCTGGTGCATTGAAAGATAATCTATATGTTTTAACTCTTAGCTCATATCAAATGCAAAATTATGAATTAAATGCAACTTCATCTAGATTGAATGTTAAAAGAAAAGCAGTTTCTCCAAACTCATTGTATCATTGGCATCTACGATTGGGTCACATCAATCAAAATAGGATTCAAAGGTTGGTTAAAGAAGGTTTATTACCTTGTGAGGCAGAGGAGCCTATGCCAACTTGTGAATCCTGTATTGAAGGAAAGATGACTCGAAGGGCTTACTCAGCCAAAGGAGATAGAGCCAAAGAACAATTAGAGTTGGTGCACACAGACGTGTGTGGTCCCATGAACACCCAAGCGAGAGGAGGGTTTGAGTACTTCATCACTTTCATTGATGAT